CAGGCCCTTCCTGGGGTGTGTCCCTGAGTCAGAGCCTGAGGGCTGGCTGGTCAAGCTCCTTGCAGAATCCTGGGCTGGTCACTTCCCTTCCTGCAGCCATGGTTCCGTACCCTCGGAGCTGTTTTCTTATGAGGACAAAAATGAGATAAAGGATGGAATGTGCCTACCCTGTGGACCTTGGTAGATGTGGATTTCTCCCCCTGCAGGGGCCAACCTTTAGGGGGGCTCATCCGCCTGACTCACGACGCCCTCTCTCATGAGGCAATCTCCTTGCTTCCTCAGTGTGACAGGCACGTCACTGGCAGTTGGGAGGTGTGCCGGAGGGTAGGTTTGGCCTAAGGATCTGCCAACTTTGAAAAGATACCCTTTCTGTTACCTGGTACCCCCACCTCTCTATCCCGGGGCATGGAAGGGTGTCTCCTGTCACAGGGTGAAGCCATGGGGCCCAGGAAGTGTGAGGGGTTCTGCAGCTGATCAGGGAAGGGACATGGGTTGTCTCCCTACCCACATCTTCAGCCACAGGCTGTGACCTGGTGCTAAGCGGTCCCCCGCCCAGGATCCCCACTGCCCTGTTGTCCCTGCATCCTTTGCTGGGATTATCTGAGGCTGTGGCATCATTTGTCAGTCCACTAGGCCAAAGGGATACAGACGTGACAAAGAGGGTGAGGTCTCCCCTTAAGGCACCTACATCGTATTGTCGGCAAGTGAGTATAAATAAGTGAATACAGTTGTTACGGAGCAGGCTGAGTGCTGTGAAGGAAGAAAACTGGGTAACATGGTAGAGAATAACGTTGGGGAGCACTTGGTATATGATGTCTTTGTCCATTTGGGCTGCTAGAACAAATGTACCAGAGACTGGCTTATAAAAAACAAAAATGTATTTCTCACAGTTGCAGGGGCTGGAAGTCTGAGATCAGGGTGGCAGCATGGCTGGGGTCTGGAGAGAGCTCTCTTGCAGATGGCATCTTCTCGATGTGCCCCTCACGTGGTGGGAGGGGTGAGGCAGCTCTCTGAGGTCTCTTAGAAAGGCATTGACCCACCCTCATACTAATCACCTTCCAAAGGCCCCACCTCCAGCACCATCACTGGGGGCTGGGATTTGAACATATGAATGTGAGGACGCACACACACGCACACACATGCACAAACACACGCACACACATGCACACGCGCGCGCACACATGCCCGCGGATGCGCGTTTAGGCCACAGCGCGAGGTGAAGAGGGACGGCTCCTCTGAGGGGTTTTAAGGCAAGATCTTCAGTGAAGCAGGACTCTGGTTGCAGACCTTAGAAACCCCAGTGAAATAACAAGTAGGCCCACATCCAAAGAATGAGTGCGTGGGCTTATCTCAGGAGGAAGTCTACAAGTGGCTAACTGCGAGCATTCAGGAATGTAGGCATTTAGATAATTTTGTCAGGAATAGCCTTCCAGCTCTCAGTCCTGATCTCCTGTGTTGCCTCCATTTGTATGTAGGTCCCCTCCCTGCAGGTCCTTTCTGCAAGTCCCCAGGAGATGGTAGAAAATGACCAGGATTGGTGTTCTAACTGGGTGAGAGATCATCCCTGAACTAAACTGATTGGCCAGGCCTGGGTCATGAGCTCATGCCAGCAGCCCTGGGTCAACACAGCCAAACAACATGGACTGAGGGGGCAGAGTGCTGAGGCCCCCCCTGAATAGGAGGTTTGGCTTTGACTTCTGGAGAAACGCATAGTGGGTCAGCAACGCAACCCCCTCCCCATCTCTCCAGTGACGTGGTGGGGTGGTGGTGCTGCTGGAGCTCCCAGCAGAGGTGACAGAAAGCGCAAAGAGCTAGAGTGGGGATGAGAGCTAAACCTGCTGAGGTGGTCAAGAGGGCCCCTCACTCCCCAGATACCTTCTTGCAGCTCCTGGGTCCCCTTGCTTCCTCTGTCACAGCACCAGGACTGAACCTGGCTTCCCTGCCTACAGGCTGGTGCCCTTCTTCTGGGAGGTCTTCCTGTCCCCCTTCCCTGCTTGGGGTTTCCCTGGCTGCCCGGGACAGGGAAGACCACCAGCTAAAGCAGACAAGGGGCAGGACCTGCCCCTGCAACAATGCCCAGTGTCCCTTACAAGGCCTTTAATGCATCCAAAGAAAGCACAGCCATGTCTTCAGGGACCCTCAGTCCCATAAAGAAGCAGAAAGTGACTAGACACTGTGCTCAGATCAGAAACCAAGGGATAGTACGATCATACCTGGCAGAGGCACAACTGCCCAGAGGGTCTTCCCTTTCCTCTCCCTCCCTCTTGTGTGTTCTCGTTCTCTCTCTCTCTCTCTCTCTCTCTCTCTCTCTCTCTCTCCTCCCCACACTCTGTACAGTCAAGAAGAGAAGTTCTGATAACAGGAAGTCAGGGGGAACTCCAGGCACTGTGACCTTGATGACAGATGCAGTGTGGTTTGGGGGGTAGAGTACCAGTACAGGGTATACAAGGAACACATTTCAAGGCAGAATAATAATAATTATTATAATAACAATATTATACATCCAGGACAAACCTAGCTGCCCCAACCCAAATGCAAAATCTGTATTCCAGTACAGTCCGGTGGCTAGAGGGAGGGGGTCCCCACCTGCCCCCCCAAGGCCTTACTCATACTAGCTCCCTGAGGAGGGGCCTGCCCCTCCTCCTGCTCCCTGATGAAGCTTGGCACAGGGTGGGGAGGCTGGCACTGCCAACACCGCCCCCCTGTGATGGGCATGCCAGCACAGGGTAGAGAAAGAAAGGAGGGGAGCCCCACCTCCCCCCAGTGGCCTGGCTGCAAGGGATGGAGGGGCAAGCCTGTGAGGGACCAAGGGGTGGTAGCTGTGGGGTGTGGCTACTCAGAGCCCCTCTCCGAGCCCTCCTGGCTCTTCCTTCGGGCCTGCCCGTGGCAGGAAGGGGCCAGGGACACGCACAGCACAGACAGGGCATGCAGAGCGGGACCATGGCATGCTTGGCCCGCCAGGTGCCATGCGGCCAGCCTGGACTGTTGGACGGCCGTCAGAGGGCAGAGTGGGCGGTGGAGTCCAAGGGGCCCCTCTTGGGCTGGGCTGATGATTCAGTCTGTGGTGGGGCCTCCTGGGAGTTGGGCCCTGGGGCAGGCAGCTGCAGAAATTCTGGGAGCACCAGGTCCTCTTTGCGCAGAAGGCCCCTTTGGTCGTGGGCCCCGCTGCTTTGTACCCGG